TGAGCAAAGAAAAAAAAAAAAAGGAAAAATCAATTTGATCAAAGGAGTATATCAATTTGTTAGGAGTTATATTTTCCTCAGGAGCTCATTTATTGTTTAGTTCTTTTACATGAACAACTTTGATGTTTGTTTTCAGAAAAGACATCTTACTGAGTTGATTCTTTTACCAGTTCTCTGACATTCATTATTATATTACCTTATCCTCCTGAGGAAGTATTTTAAAATATATCTTTCCCAGAATCTTATGCAAAAATATTCAACAAGGACAAAACAGGTTGGCTGGAACACTTTCACCTTTAGGAATATGCACAGTTGGATGTCCCTGATAGTCACAGATGACTGGCAAAGAATCTCTAATCATAAAAAGGCCTCTCCTACCATTTAGATAGAAAATGTCTGGGCACTAAGATTTGCATTTTTACCATTGTTACTAAACCAGGATATCCCCCAAACTAGGATCCTTGTAATGAAGGCTAAATTAGAGGGAAAGGGAAATAATCTGATCACTTGTATTGTAGCTACTCACTGAATATGCAACCTTCCTAACCCAGAAATTGTTTCTAAAGCTGGGGAAAGTCCTGGAATGAGTAGCCCAGCACTGGTTCAGAATTTCCATGCTACCGACAGGCTGAGGCATGGCAAAAGGTCTGTCTGGACTCGCCTGCTGGTTGACTTGACAAAATGCTACCAAACCAGGCCCCTTTGGCCCAGGTTACATATTTTCAACTTCCCTTAATCAGCTGATAAATCCCTGGGAAAGCAAAATGACTTGGGAAAGTTACTCATTTTAATAACATCTGAAATAATTAGGAAAATAATGGCTCATAACTTATCCAAAGGCATGGGAGAGGATGTCTGGGCCATTAATGCCCCTCTATCTGAATTCTGATATAAACAGTGGTGGTATGGGTGTACCTCGCTCAGCTGTTCCCTTTTCTACTGCAAGACCGAAATATTTTACTATCAAAACTTCTTTCCTGATGTGGTGGCATGTGCCTGTAATCTCAACACTTGGGAGGCTAAGTCAGGAAGATTGAGAGTTTGAGACTGGCCTAGACTACGTAGTGATGCACTATCTCAAAAACAAAACAACAAAATAACCCCCAAAGCAAAAATTAAAGAAGTTCTCAATTTGCTGGGCAACTACAGTATCCTAGTGTTTTCCTTTAAGGTATATATATATAT